AGAGAGAGAGAGAAAGAGGGAGGGACGGAGGGAGATGCTGCATTCAATGAGCCGATAGATGTGGTTTGTTGTTCTGCGAGCTTTGATTTTGCTCTTCATTTTCGGGGCAGATTACCATGGGGTCTTCGGCATTGGAGTAATTTCACCTCGTCGTCAACCGAACATCAGCTGCTTTGTCCTCAGGGGACCGACTCTGCTGTGGAAGCAGACGGCGAAACCGAGCCAGATGCTTGTTTGCAATGGTTTCTTAGATTGTAGGTTGTCTCCGAGTGCCAGGCATACCTGTACGAAGCTCTCGGCACGTTGGTACAAGGCAAGTGAATAACTGAAATGAGGCAGATTTAGCAGGAAGAACCGCGGGGACCTGGGACCATTTGACCCCAAGACTTCCCACCCCGTCTTCGGCGGGTCGGCCGTTGAATTTGTCATGCGTGAAGCCACTCCCCGCCACAAGCTGTGCAATATTCATGTTGAGCCTAAACGACCTGCCTTTTGAAGGAAGTCAAGAGGATGTCATAAAAAAAAACTCTAAAAAGGTAGGTTATTTGGGGTCAAGACAGCTCGTTGATAAGGAACTCCATCCCTTTCTTATCTCTGCCTTATCGAAGGAGAAGCCCGATGCTGGTGTGGAAACCTCGGCCGGCGAGGAGCCGGCACCGGCTTCAGCCTTTAGTCAGCATCTTGAGGGTGTGGCTGTGCTGTACGTAAAACCCCCGCGAAAGTAGGCGAAAGAACGGCCCGTTTCGTAGAAAGGGCTTTTGGGGTCCATTTCGGTGTCAAGTACGTGTACGCACAACTGAAGCAAGACAACACTATGTGCACAATACAGCGGACAACTCTTGCAGCGACGCGCCTGTGTCAGTTCTCCGAGTACAAAAATTGAACCTTCCTGTCAACCAACAACTCCCGGACTCCGGAGGCATCAACGATTCTGCAGGTCTGAATTTCTGTCTACGTAACTATACCAAGTGACCAAGCATATGGACTTCAACCCAGCCATGCACACTCTGTCGCTTATACTGAGAAATCTGCCGAAAGCTTCCCAAACGGTATATGCTAACTCTAGTTCAATGATCTCTCTCCTGTAACGGTTAAGATGGTCAACGGACTTGCTGGGGATGTCGAAACCAACCCGAACTTCTTCTACTTCGAAATACCCAACTCGTCAACCACATAAATCCTAAACCTCTCCAAAACTCTACATCCACAGACCAACATCCCAAATACCCATAACCCCTACAAGAAAAAACTGAGAGCAGAAGCCCGGAGCCGAGGTCCCACCGCCCCGGCGCGTGCGCGTGCGCCGCGCACGCAGTGCGGCCGAGCCGAGTGCTGCAAAGGTGCGGCCCAGGCGAATCCCAGAGCTGTGCCTCAAATCCTAGAGCGGGCTGTGTGGTTCCTTACAGCTTGTAAACCGAATGACTATCCATCTATCGAATAGATGTCATATAAACAAATAGACAAATTCCTTAAACTCGAAAACCTCATGTTCGATTTGGTGTCATGTTGCCCAACTACGAACGTCGTTGCTCTTTTTGATAGGCCCCGGCCGGGTGATGGCTGTCGAAGAGGGGTCATGTGGTACACAAGTTGTCGATAAGACGTATTTGCTAGAGCTGCTCGGCTTTTTGCACTGCACATGCAGCAATGCAACCAAACAAGTGCGTGCTGGTTGATCTATCCAGGTGAGGACATTCGCTTCGATTTCATGGTCAAGGGTCTCCGCTTCCAGAGCAGAGAGGGACCTTGGGCTCGTTAGACTTGGCCCCGGCTCCCCAATGGTGTGACAGAGGTCTAGCGGTTTCTGGAAAGCTAATGTCGCGCCGGGCAGAGTTTCCACACAAAGGTCCGAAGACAGGGATTCGGCGCCACATTAGCTTTGCCGGATGAAGTCGCTGTCCTTGGAACAGCTGCAGCGCCGGTTCGACCGACTCCGATCTTTGCAGCGCCGACTGGCACGTGCTCCAGCGACGCACTTCATTGCCTGTGGCAAAAGGTATGATCTGCCCCTTAGTGCGAGAACTGCGAAGCCATGTGCTGATGTTATTCCTCCACGTATTGTCGACTACATGGCTGGATTTTTTGATGGAGATGGATGTGTGAGCAGACACAAGGACAAGTACCAACTGAGCGTTGGTCAAGCAGAATCCGGCAGTGAGGTTCTGCTTCTCTTCAGGAACTTGCTGGGTGGCGGAATCTATGCAAAGGGCAGAGCGCAGGGTACACGGCAGGTCACTCTGCAGTGGTCTGTGTTCAGCAAGCGTGCTCAACATGCTGCAGCTAAGCTGAGCCGAAGCTCTTGTTTTAAACATGAAAAGCTATGGCTGGCTGCAGCTCTGCCAGAACGGAGCCGGCAGAATGGCATGAAGCCATCCAGGGCACTGTGCCGTTCTTGGTCCTACTTAGCTGGCTTTTTCGATGCAGAGGGAAGCATACGAATTAGATACCCGGCCGGCCTGACCTTACAGATCGGGCAAACATCTCCATACGTGTTGTTTGCGATCCAAGATTTCCTTGCTCGTACGGGTATCCAATGCTCCGTTCATGAATATAGCGGCCGTCACCTGCTGGAAGCCAACAGGACTGAAGAGTGCCGGCTCCTTTTGAAGAGACTCTTGACTGCAGGCCTCCGAGTGAAACGCCATGCAGCCAGAGTCTCGTTGGAGCTAGCACCAGGCAACTTTCACCACGTTCGAAGCAAGCTGCAGGAAGTTGTCGGGCTGCAAAGTCGCTACAGGCGATTGACTGCCGCAGGAGCTGAGCGTGCGTATGAAATTCAAAAGACAAGAACAAAGATAGACCGCGGAGGTGGTATCGCAGAAATCGAACGTCCTCGGCTGGTCCAGTCGCAGTTGATGAATCTGCAAGCTACTCACCGCTTAAAGTGCGCGGAGGAACGGTATGTGCTGCTCCGTGCCGATATTCGATCACAACTGCGTCAAGGAGCCTGCATCGGGAATTCGTAGCCTGATGGAGGCGCAACACAGCACGTCTGTTCTTGCCGAATCGGTGGGCCTGGCCGAGTGCGCCAACAAAGAATAGCCCATGGCTGATGATAGAGCCGTTTTTTTGCAACAGTGACAAGTGTCCCGTGCGTGCCTCGCAATTGGGCATGCTAGCAATACAGCATGAAGATAGCTGCTAGCAATCCAGCATCAAGATGCTGACGTTGACATGGGCTTTTCAGGAATTGCTCTTTCCTCAGGATCATGCAACATCTGCTATCCTCCTCACCCCGCACGGTTGGCTTCCCTTGCTGCTCCCGGTCCCATTGCGCGCAGCTCCAATGCCATTGGAAAGCTGAGCCTTGGTGTGCAGGCTGGCTGGACCGACCACGGAGGACGACGCGACGCAAAGCGACGCCGACAAGGCAGGACGACAGGGTCTTGAAGCGGGGGTCGGCTGAGGGCCACATACCGGGTTTTTTTCTGGTTGGATGCCGGTGGTTCCGAAGCTTCGCAGATCCGATGCAGCGGATCACTTGGGTGTTCATGACATACGGTGAACATTGAAAAGATACTGGTTCGATCGATTTTGTTTGATGCCAAAGATTATCCGGGTACCGAACTTCCCCTCCCTTCCCCTCCCCACGCTCTCGTAAGAACAAGCACACCAACTCAAGCCGAGGCCAAGACTCTCTCCTTGGCCGTTGTTGGATCGCGTCCACCCAAGCTGCGCCAGCGAAGTGTCTTGGCTGGAGCTGAGGTTCGGAGGTCCGATGCCTGAATATCTGAAATGCTTGAGGCTTGCAAAATGCTCCTGCTTCGGCAACGGCCGCCTCCTCCGCCTCCTCCTCGTCTCCTCCTCCTCCTCCTCCTAAGCTCCATCCACCGACAACAACTAATCCTACGGCTTGATGGTTGCTATATGACTTGTAGCCGGCATACTCTACTGAGCCGTTGCAATGGCTCCCCAAGGTCGACCCGTGGTCACGAAGTCCATCTGGAAAGAGGCCGCGGGCATGGTGAGAGGGGCCATCGCTGTTGTCGAAAGCTTTGCAGACCACGACTTGAGAAGAGTCCGGGTGTGCTATCAGTAATTATAGGAATCCGGGTGTGCTATCATCAATTATAGGAATCGTCCGTGTGATGGTCCTTGATCTCTTTACTCATACTCAAAAGTTTCATGGAGAATCAGAGCCAGGTTTGTAAACGCCTTCATGATTTTCGCTTATAAGACTCCTCGCAACACTGGCCATTCTTGTAGCCTCGTCTCTGCAGGTCCATCAGCCCGCACAGTAACTTCTATCATAATTCCCCGGGCCGCTGAGTTAATCCCAAATATGCAAAGTTTCTGTGTACCCTCCTTGCGCTGACTACTTTTTCGTCTCAGGAGCCAGACTTCGACTCCGGATTGGGCGCGCTGCCTCTTGGACGAGGAGCGAGTTTAGTGTGCAGGCCCTGACGTGAAGGGCGTACCTAAAGCAGCCATGAACTCGTGCTACTCTACTCGGCCACCACAACGAACTCGTCCACAGGGCTCGGTCGTGTGACCCCGTCAGTTGTTTCAAGACGAGTTGCAATGAGGCCAGGGCAGTACTAAGCATGCATTGTTGGGGCATCCTGCTTCAGGAAGAATCAATCAAACGAATGTAGAGAGAAGAAATGCAGGCGAATTTGAGCGGCCAGACTTCGGAGGCGTGCTCTTTCACCGTGTTTGTCATGACTTATGTCCTTGTTGTGGTGGCGTGCCTTTACTATCCTTTGTGACATCAGCTACTGCATCGGAGCATTCTCAGAATGTGAGCACACCCTTGGAACCTGAATCCCTTGCGTTCCCAAGGTATTTCTCCTTTAGCTCGATGCGCAGCGCAGAGGGGCAGAAGGCACGGTTCCATCCAGCAGATCACCGGAATGATGTTCAGTTCGAGCATCGAGTGGTTGTGCCAGAAGAGAATTGGACAAGTTCTTTTCATGTGAAGGGCCTGTGTGCTTATCAAGCTGTGCATGCATCCAACGGTGTTGACCTCTCGTCGTCCTTCTGTCTCACGACTTCTCGTCAGCCCATTGCGCAGGTTCCCTTGAAAAATCGAGACAAAGTTGTTCGAACGTTGCATGAGCTCAACAGCAAGGCTGGGCCAAATGTTGAGAGCGCAAGGTTTGTTGGCCGGTCCCTGCCTGGAAGTGTAATTTCCGCACAACTGCAGCATGTACCTTCGACGCCTGCAAGCTGGGGTGGAATTATATTGGAGGTACCGGTAGACAAACATCCGATGACACAGCCCGTTTGCAATCAGTTTTCTTTGCCTGCTCTTCGAATTAAAACTCCCAGAGCACGCCGGGAATCTCAACGGTTGGGAGTTCGGAGGTTCCGAGATACCTTTACAGTTTAGCAGGGTGTTTTTGCCGATTCACATGCTCAAGAACCAAGAGGTTCTCGGAAGGCTTCAAATCAGAGCATTGGACAACTCTGAGCCTCAGACCCTCGTACCCCGAATCCGAAACCTTGAGGTTTAAGCCGCAGTTCCCAGAACACGAAATCTAGACTCTACCTATAGTCTCCATTGTAGTTCCTGTTTAGGGTTACCTTATAGGATCCTTAATATGAAATTGGTTAAGCCAAAAAAAGGAACTACAATGGAGACTATAGGTAGGCCCAGGAATCGAAGCTTGAAGCCTGAGAAACCTCAGTGTGGAGGTAGCGCTGCCCCTTTGCCGGCACTTTGGCCTCCGGTACAACTTCTTCTCTGAGCACCATCCCCAGGCGAGGAAGGGCTGGGGGTTGGCAACTATGATGTTTCATAAGTCTAATAATTCCGGTCTAGGGTTTAGGGTTTCGGGTTTAGGGGTTTTGGTCTAGGGTTCAAGAGAATGGGTCGGGCAGTTGTGAAGTAGCGCAGCGCTACAAGGTTCGATGCGAGTTTCGTTGCAATAGGGGGGGAACAAAGTTGAACGGCCCGGTCTAGTGCACGGATGAGCGCTGCATCTGAAAACAACTTCTAAGCAGCCCGGGAAAGGCACCACTCGCCCAAATTTGTATCACCCTATAGACTATAGACCATACCCTAAGGGTCCAAGTGCCCAGATATACGGTCTACTCTGGCCTGAGGGCTATCCCTATATAGGTGCTTTGAGGCCAAAATATGTACTGTTTGGATATATGGACTCTGAGGGATCTACTTGCCATAAGCATGCCTTGCAGGTCGTCAGATAGCATCAAATCCCTAAACCCGAACCCCCAAACCCCAAACCCCTAAACCCTAAACCCTAAACCCCTAAACCCCTAAACCCTAAATTCCTCGAGCTTTGCTGCGGTTGGCCAGGATCGAAACGTATGAAAGCTCAAAGCCCCCAGAAGACCTTTCATCCCGGAGTCCCGCAGTCTCCAAGGACAACCCACCCCAGGAGCCATAAAGAGCGTGAAACTCACGCCCCCAGGAAAAAAAATAAAGGACAGCTATGCACGTCTGTGCCAAACCTCAAAGCCTAAAGCTATGTGACCCTAGACCCTGAAGCTACACCCAGCCTCAACCCCTAAAGCCCCCAGCCCCAGCCCTGCACACATGGACCTTGAGTCCTGCAAGCCCCTATAAGCCCCGATTGCACAACCCCCAAAGCCTTAAACCTCCCAGTAGAGAGTTGGAGGTCGGCTAATATAGGGGCGTTAATAATTAGAATAGTTGTTTTTTTGTTTTTTTTTTGTTGGGGGGGGGGGGTCATTATTGTAATTTCAGTTTAATATTTTCTTCTAATTATTAAGGCCCCTATGCTACCTACTTCGCCTTCGACAGGCCAAGAAGGCCGGTGTGACGTGCAAGGAGCCTTTGATTCTCAGGCAGGATCTGGTAGCTGCTTTGGGACTTGTCGTGGCTCTGGGGGTTAACGTGTATGGGGGAGTCGACCGGAGATCAGAGTATTTAAGACTTTTTCGCCAGAGTGTCGGGTTTGTGGTTCCCCGCGGTACGTGTTGCTTTGCTTCCGACATCCCCTGCTTCCCTCGTCAGGAAAGAGGGCCCGGATGGCACGGAGATTCAGGACGGGCAGGGCTTGTGCAGGGTTCCTGTGCACAGATCAAGACACGAAAAGAGTGCATCCTCCCCCTGACATTGAACAGTGCGAGCCGAAGTTCCTAAGACCCTATAGGATTCGAAAGTGCTAGCTCTTCCGGATCTTCCCACAGAGGAGCACAAGCCATATTACCTCATATGTAAATGTAGGTAGGTCAAACCGTCGCTATACTGGATGACTGCACGACTGCACTACTCGTCTCAGCCTGCTTCATGCCTTTTTTATGACCAGACTAGCATTACGCACACAGACACCCTAAACTGCTCAGGCATGCTCACACTTCATCTGGGTTCTTGTTAGGGGATTTAATTTAAGTTACCATAATAAGGAAACCATATCATTTACAATAGATTCCCCTTATGGTAACTAAAAAATAAAAATCCCTAGCAAAGAATGCAGTCATAGGAGACTCGATACCTGGTCACCATCAGACTTCGGCTCCGCCTGCATCCGACGAAGGGCGCAGGGGCCTCTGGGGGAGTTTAGGCTTTCGATGTCAGGTTAGGGTTTAGGGTTTAGGGTTTGAGGGATATCCGTCTATGGACGCAGGTGTGAATGCCTGCATGAGTTGAGTATGTATGGGTACTTATATAATCTATAGTGGCAGACGGACAGGATACGAGTCTTGCGCATAAAAGCAGATGAAGCTTTCAGCCGAGTGGATGTTGCACCAAGGATCCCCAGACAGAGTTCATCTCGCGAGGGACGCAGATTGCTGCCACTTGGGCCGCGATTTCGGTTTCAAGGTCAACTCGGCAGGAGGTCGTGGGTCCTTCGGATACGGGATGGACATGACCCGAAATGCACCCATCAAAAACTCGAGTCGGGGATAAGCTCCGAAACTCGGAATGTATAGCAGCTAGCCTGCAGGACTCTTACCATTACCCTAAACCCTAAAACCCTAAACCCCTCTTACCATTTTCAAGCCAAGAGACTTTGCATGACCTCACGAAAGGCTC